AAGTGGTCTAGGAATCAAGCGTTCGCGCGTGAGTCAGTCAGTCAGTAACAACGTAGAACTTCGTACGTACATACATCAGTTCGAGTTGCCACACCACATTAGCACAGAGATGCAGTGGTCGATTCAAATCTTACAGTGGTAGAGGTAATAAGAGTATAAGCAGTAATCGGGAAGATTAGGGTTTGGAGATGTTACTTAAAGAGTATAATACAGTGAAACACTAGTAACCTACGGATATCCTCTACTCTTACCATGTTTCACTGCCATAAAGTAGGACGGAACGAACTGCTGCGCAGTAAACACGTCCTTTGGTTGATAGACGGATATCTCGCCTACGCCATAAATGATGCAAATTGGCAAAAGCTAGTCGAGCCTTCTGTATCCGTGCTGAGACTTCGTCACACACCAGACCACAAGGGCTAATGAGACTTCCAAGATAAGTGAAGCGATCGATACGCTCAATTACTTCACTCCTTATCATTAGCTCGGGTGTCAATGCAACCCAATCCTGAAGCAACATTTTACATTTCGAGGAGGAGAATCGCATCCCGAACATGCTTGCATTGTTGCTTAGAGTGGTCAAAAGACTCTGCATTTTGTCAGCGTCTTCACCAAATAAAACTATGTCATCTGCATATTCTAAGTCAACAAGTGAACCTCCTGGTAGAAGTTCAACCCCTGTAAATTTAGATGAGGAGAGTGTTATCTCTAAAAGTACGTCAATGACAAAGTTAAACAAGAATGGGGAGAATGGACAGCCCTGACGAACACCATTTGAGGTAATCAATTCTGATGACAGTTCGCCATAAGCTCTCACTCTACCAGTTGTGTTCGAGTAGAGAGCCTTTATAAGGTTAATGTACTTCTTTGGTACTCCTTTCAGTGACAAACACTGCCATAGAACCTCATGATCAACAGAGTCGAATGCCGCCTTAAGTCTTAGGTTCGAATCCCGCGAGCAGGACGAAACATCCGTCCAGTGCTTCCAGGTTTTCCATGGTGGTCTAGCTTTAATTGACTCATGAATTCAACTACTAAATAATTATCAGTATAGGATTGTGAAGATTATTAAGTTTTCGATTGATATCATGAATTGATTGATGTTAGACAATTATTGAAAACCTGGAAGCACTGGACGACCGTTTCGTCCTATTATGGGACTCATCAGTAGTGTGCATCCACGATCTCGCTTCAGGACGTATCGATCTATAACTGTATGTTATAAAGTTGGCAATAATGCACATTTTTAAAACGGATGTTTTCAGTGGTGTAGTTTCTTAATCTGGGTTAAATTGTTTAATTATACTGGACTTTCATTGTTATTTTGAACAACATCATCAGTTCCTAGTTCATGTACGGCCGTTTCGTCCTATTATGGGACTTCTCAGCAGTGCGCACCCAACTAGAAGCTTGAAATTCAGGTCAATTAGCAGCCAATAAACATATTGAAATCAGTACAGTTTGTCGACCAATGAAAGAAAATAACGAGATAGGATAAGTGCAAACAAAATTCTATCAAAACGAAGTTCTTCAGAACAAACTACCAGTAAAAGCTGACTACTGACTTCTATTCAGTTTCTTGGCAGATAGTGTAGCTTAGGTCGGTCTAACGTTACGTGCTCACGTCAGAATTTATCATGAACAAATCAATAGATGTGAAACGAAATTTATAATCGGAATTCTGATTGATGAATTTAAGACATGATATTGATTAACTTCACTTGGTATTGTTTGGCTTGTATCTTCCCATTGAATTTTTTTAAGACTGCAATTGATCAGTCTGTTATTAGCATATGTGCATACTGTGTGTATGCCTCGATATTGCCTTAATTCACAAGCTTTTTGTAAGCAATGATGGATAGTGGCTAGCAGTGGAATCGAGGACGCGCATTTCGTCCTATTTGGGACTCGTCAGCTGGATGTACCTGCATCTCAGAGAGTTGATGTTCACTCTGGGACTCGAACCCAGTACCACCCCATTGCACAAGCAAGTGGTTATAAGGACTCAGCAGCTGAGTGGATAACGCGATGGCGTTTGAAGCGGATGGTACTGGGTTCGAGTCGCAGAGTGAACATCAACAAGTCTGAGATGCAGGTACATCCAGCCGACGAGTCCCAAATAGGACGAAACGCGCGTCCTTGATTCCACTGGTAGCCACTATCCATCATTGCTTACAAAAAGATATTGATTAACGTTTCGATACACGACAAACACATGAAAAGCTTCACAATGAAACAACCATCAACCTCACCAACATAAAACTCTATCATAATCATACACCTAAGATATAAGTCATCTCCATCACTTTGATAAATATTCGGGTTTGGTTACATTTTGATAATGTTTGACTGATGCAAACTGAACTCTTTTATGATCTGAATAAGCATCCACCTTGTTAGCTTCCTCTTGAAATATTCTTTACAATGTAGAGAGAGGAGTACAGGAGATCTAAGCTCTGCGTACAATTCTACTCTTGAAGTAGACAATTATGTCAGTATGATATTAAGATTACCACTTTATTATTTATTATTTAGCTAAGCTAATTCTGGAAGCACCGCGAATGGACTCAAAATATTTTCCATTTCTACAATTAAAAGTAAGTTTCATCAAAAATAATTAACACGTTTTCAATAATTACTCAAAGGATCATGGAGGATTTCATTTAAAGTACATAACTTTCAATTAATTTGCTTTTATTTATTTTTATAGTTGAATTCATGAGTCAATTGAATTTAGACCATCATGGAAAACCTGGAAGCACTAGACTACCGTTTCGTCTTAGTATGAGACACCTCAGTAGTGCGCATCTACAATCCTACCCCGCAAGATTCAAACCCAGGATCTACCAGTCTCGTGCGCGTACACTTAACATCTAGACCACTGAGCTGGTTGGCAACCAACGATGTTAATATCTAACTTCAACCAAATTCACGAAATTGAGACACCGTCCACCATTGTCTTCAGTAAGTTACTATCCCACAACAGACCTAGTTGAAACCCACCGGTCGCGGCTTCTCATTAGAACTCCAGGAAATACCTCTTGAAACCATTCACTAGTGAACACATGATGATTATTATCAGAAGGGGGTTTTATGAAGATTTTAGTAATTTAATCGTTTAATTCACTAGTCAATCAAAGCTAAACCATCATGGAAACCTTGGACAGCCGTTTCGTCCCAGTATGGGACTCCTCAACAGTAGATTGGTTGAAGTTAGACACTAACACCATTATATTCCGGCTCATCGATCTAGAGTTTAATCATTCGCGCACGAGGCCGATATGTCCTGGGTTCCAATCCAGTGGGCGGGATTGTAGAAAAATACTGTTGAGGAGTTCCATACTAGGACGAAACGGCCGTCTAATGCTTCCAGGTTTTACATGGTGGTCTAGTTTTAACTGACTCATGAATTCAATTGTAAAATTACTAAAATCTCCAGGATATTCTTCTTCTGATTTTAATTATTTAACATGTTAAGATGCCACTACAGTAAGGCATATTCATAGAAGACATTTATAGATAGATTGAAGTGATTAAAATGAACTAAGTCCCTAGTGAAAATTGCAATCGTATATACAACAATAACGTATTAAAATGGAAGGGAAATTGCTCGAAAATACTGGAGATATTACACTTTTATTGAATATTGAAAACAAACATCCAGCTGACGAGTTCCAAATAAAATGAAACGCGCGTCCTCGATTCCATTGCTAGCCAATATTCAACTTTGCATATAAATTAGGTTTCGTTTTATAGCCAGCTATTATCGTACTAATAAGGTAGTCTATATAATAATTATCTGGCTATTAAATGTGCCATTCTAATTTTGATTAGAGATTTTTAATTACTACCTTACGTGCTTTGTCATTTTGTGACTTTGATGATTCATTATGTGCGTTTTGTATGGAGTTTATACTGTCGCCTTATTGTGTCTGTCATCTAATACTCTAATTGGTTATTGGTAATTTAACATTTATGCATTTAAAGTATCGGCGACCTTGAATGAACCAATCAAAATCAAGTTGGCAGTTCATTGTTGTTTTTTGTTGTTGCGACAAATAGAAAGGTGTAGTGAAAGATAGTTTATGAGCCGTGAAATTTGGAGGAGGGTGATGATGTGATCAATACATCCTCGACCGGAACGAAAACCAGCGTGCTCCTCATGAGTCAATCTTTCTCGGGTTGTGAACAACCTACGAAGTATGACGGAAGCCAATAGCTTGGACGCAATCGGAAGTAGACTTATCCCCCGATAGTTGTTACAGGAACGACGTGAACCCTTTTTAAAGATAGGGACAACTATCGACTCATTCCATGACGTTGGTACACTCTCTAGTTCCCAAACCTTTGTAAACAACGTCGTCAATTCCTTAGTCAGAAAGTCACCACCATCTTTAAAAAGAGCCGGAGGTAAGTCATCTGGGCCTAGTAATTTGTAACGCTTCAAGAGTTGGAGTTCCTTGCGGACTTCCTCCTCGTTTGGTGGATCATTCGTCACCGGCCATGGAGGGCAGGACAGTCTGACCGATGTTGCCGGAGCAGCAGGCCAGTTGAACTGCCCTTCGAAGAATTCTGCCCATCGTCCCAGACGTCGATGGATGTTAGTGATTAGCATCCGGTCATCCTCACAGATTGTTTCTCTCACACACTTCGCCTTCGGACCTTGGGTTTGTTGCATTTAGTCTTACTGCTATTCAACCGACCTATCTCGTATAGCAGGACCATGAGGAACGATTGTTCCAGTCAGTATAGCTCGGTTGCTTCATCACGATAGGCAAGCCCAACCACCACGTCAAGGTCGCAACAATGGTCGGATCTCATCAACAAACAGATGATATATCATTATCGTTCAATCATTCTGTAGTTAAACTGGTTACTAAAGTGTCATTATAGTTCTCTTTTCTCGTTTTCATTTCTCCATGCATTCCATTAAGATTTTTTTTCTTTTCTTCTAGGTAACTAGAATTGATTTCAATGAAATGTATCATCAAAATCATTTATTGCATAAACCATTATTTCCATCAAATTCATTATCTTTCATGGAAATATTCTATCGTCTTTTATCTGCTCAAGATATTCGATAATTACAGACAGAGTTTTGTTATTGTTTAGGTCTTTATTATTAGTAGTAGTAGTACTATTACTATTATTACTATTACTATTGTTCTTACTATTACTACTACTAATACTACCACTATTATTATTATCGTTACTATTACCATTACTATTATTATTAGTACTACTATTAATATTACTATTATTACGTAACTATGATCCTAGTGATATTTTCGGTGGAACTTATCCTATTTTTATAACATGTAATATGATTATAACATTTTCCTCTCTCTATTATATATTGAATAGTCAATCTATTCATGGATAATATGTGGTTATTATGTTTATTTATCATTCAGTTATATTATGATATGTACTACTACTACTGATGATGATGATGATGATAGATAGATAGATAGATAGATATAAGTAGTATGTAACGCTATTTATTTATATATTTTAACACATAGATGTTGGTTCAAGGAGGCACCAAGTACGTATGCGCCACACAGATCTCATTTGATATGTGTGATGGCTGTGATACTGCCCGGGTGCCCAAATCGAAGCAGATGGTCTTCTTAGGGGGCCACACCCGGAGCCTTTGACCTGAAGGTCTGATCCACAAGGCAGTATATCAACGTGAGGAGATGCATTCCCATGGTAGCCGGTCACTAATAATTGGTTCATACACTATTTGTTCCCTCAGAATACTAGAGCCAGCACATGTACACTGTTGGTTTGCAATGAGGGTTTTCCAACTCCTCTAGGTGGACTAACCATGTCCACCCACCCGGTTAAAGCACTGGACATTCGCTTTTCGTCCTCTCATTTTCGTAAACAACACCGGTGCTACGAGAGGGCAGTGAGTAGGACTTCCCTGGCAGAGGCTATATACGCCTGGCCATTTGAGAGCATTTGGAGAGGGAGAGCGAACTCTTCCCACTTTCGGCCGTACCAGGCATTTGGCACCTATATAACGTTAATCGAAAATGAAATGTCTTGCAGCAGACGGTTAAGAAAATTGAAGAAAAGTAAACAAGGACAGAGAATGATTATTTTGGAAGCGAAAGTACAATGAAGTTCGAAATGATTGATAGATATTTTGTAAAAGATGTATTTACTGCATGATCCTCAGACTTTTCCAACG